TGAAGCCAAAAGTCTCTCTCTCTCCCCCTGAGAACAGAGCTGGAGACAGTATCCTGCGATCCCAAATAAAGAATGATCGATCGGTAGGAAAATGGGGTGGGGAATTTTCCTGCAGACTTTTTGGGGGATTTTCCCGGGGTCTCTGGTCTGCGGGATTTAAAATTATGAGTTTGGTGGTCCCTGAGGTCCAAAAGGTTGGTGACCTCTGTTCCAGAAGAAGACCTGTTGGCTTCTTCTTCTTCTTCTCTTGACTTTCCTTGGGGCACCCTAAATTCTCTTCCAAGGCATGGGGTTTGGCCAAACCATTCGACTTTGCTCAAAATGATGAATCTGGTGTCTAGGAGGGTCTTTCCTTGACACCCAGGTCCAGACAATAAGGCTACAACCTCATGGCTGACCCCAAAAAAGGTGGAGGAACCCTAAATATGGGCCAGCCAAGGGTGCGACCCAGCTGTCTGCTCTCCTGCCTGCCAGATCTCTTGATGAGAGAACCATAAAGCTTCCATCCCATCTGGAAGCATTTAAATGACCATCGCTTGCAACACCTCGGTTGGGTTCTTAATCATCGGGCAGACAAAGTCAGAGCTGCCACGAAGCTCAGCTGAATATTTGGGGTTTTGGAGACCCTTCTGAGCAGGGAGACTTCCAGCAAATTGGTCCTGGGAAAGGAAGACATAACCTCCCGTCCTCTTAAGGAGGAAGATAAACTGTTTGAGATAACCGAGATAGAAGAAATCTTTAGACGATGCAAAATAAGGGACATAACTTTGGAAAAAATCTCTCTTAGTTTCTTGGTCTTCCTTCACTTCCTTCTTGGTCTTCCTTCACTTTCCAACGTCCAGTTCAACAAAATTACCATTTTTTAAATGTACATTTTAGAATAGAATAGAATGACAGAGTTGGAAGGGACCTTGGAGGTCTTCTAGTCCAACCCACTGCTTAGGCAGGAAACCCTGCACCATTTCAGACAAATGGTTATCCAATCTCGTCTTAAAAACCTCCAGTGTTGGAGCATTCACAACTTCTGGGGGCAAGTTTTGTTCTACTGATTAATTGTTCTAACTGTCAGGAAATTTCTCCTTAGTCCTAGACTGCTTCTCCCCTTGATTAGTTTCCATCCGTTGCTTCTTGTGATGCCTTCCGATGCTTTGGAGAATAGCTTGACCCCCCTCTTCTTTCTGGCAGCCCCTGAGATATTGGAACACTGCTGTCATGTCACCCCTAGTCCTTCTTTTTATTAGACTAGACGTATCCAGTTCCTGCGACCGTTCTTCATATGATTTAGCCTCCCGTCCCCTTTTAATTCAAGTTTTGGTTCACTTGTATTTCTATAACATTTCTCATCTGAGCAATGCCTAGATCTGTTGGTGTAAGTCCTTCCTACTAATGAAATCATTTTATATTTGGGCTTCAGATCTACGCACTGTATGCACCACAATGACCAGAGCAGCCTGGCCCCTTCTAAGCAATTGAGGCTCTGCAGCCCTCAGCCCCATTTCCAAGATTTTTAAGGGGTCATGGCCCCAAACATCTGGAAGAGACTTGAAAACCTGACTCTGGGGAGGGGTGGGGTTGGGGTTTTGGTGTTTTTTTTTAGAAAAATAAGGCATCCATTTTTCCATGCTCGCACGCTTCCTTTGCAGAAGTTGCATCTTTTCAAACGGCAGAAGAAAAAATCCTGGTGGCTCCATGACTCTAAAAATAAAATGCAATCACAGCAAATTTGGGGGCATGCTCTCTTGGGGAGGGGGCACATGGCATACTTGGAGACTTTTTAATGGAGGAGTAGACAAGCTCATGGCCAGCAGGACTACCTTAAGTTGGAGGCCACCATTCCAAATGAGCCTTCCGGGACCCATTTGGGCGTTTCATGTGGTTTTCCTTCTTCGTTCCATTCGTTTTTTGGCTGTGAGCAACTGCAGCTCTTCATTTTTTCCAGTCAAGGCCCGTGATGCATAAAACACCCTGCCAAGAGTTGATTCCTAGAGTCCAGGATGGTCTTTGTAGAAGAAGAGATCCCCCTTTAGGATACTTGCAATAGTGCTCGGCCTCTTAATTAGAAGAAGGTGTTGGGGTAATATACCCGTAGCAAGTAAACCTCCGAGACAAATCGGTTCCTCAAAGGATAGTTTTATTGGGTGTATCCTATTGGCACAGTTCTGGCGAAAAACCGACTCTGAAGATTTCCGCGTTTTCACCTCATTAAAAGTAAAAGTTTTTCCCCTTCCCTCAAACATGGTCCAATCAAGGTGCTATCCAGTTGCCTGGTAACATCGCTCCTCCTCTCTCTGGCCAGGTGTTAGACTGTCCTTGGTTCCCAAAGGAAAGCATTTTATTTTGGCTACAAAACTCACAGCTCTCTCTATTCCCCCCCCTTCCTATCCCTCAGCTCCAGTGTGGCAACGCTGAAGCATCGAAATGGCTGCGGTCAGGTTAGCTTCAGGGTTGATGGAAGACTTCTAGAAGTCAGACAAACGAGGGATAACAACAAACACACGTTAAATCCAAAACCCTTTGATTTTAGTTCAACCGCTGAGAATTATCGTCACTCACAGCCCGTAATGAGTCTTCACCGGTTATAATTAGTCCCATGGAAGTCTGCCAAAGTCCTTCGGGAGAAGTCCGATAAGGACGCACCTTTATCTTACTTGAAGTGCTGCCAATGACTAAAGTACCAATTAGTCTTTCAAAAACCAAACTGAGCACAAATTCACCACGGAGCTTTCGGGTTCCAAACTGACCAGAGTGAACAATGTTGCTTCCTGCAAAGGCTCATGTCCCTTTGCTCCTCCTTTATGTCTTATGGGAGGGGCCAATCACCTCCAAGCCTTACTCCTGAGTTGCCCCTTTTGTCTTAGCTGCTCTTGCCTTCCAGCAGCTCTGCGCACATGCGCACTGGGAACAGGCTCCCCTTGTTCCTATGCCTCACTTTTGTCAGATTCTGGAGGCTCTGGAGTCAGCACAGAACTCCCGATGGCTCTGGCCCCATCTCTATAATTGGACGCAGGACCCTTGTCCGAGTCCTCTCCAGACTCCTGGACTGGTCCCCGTTCTTCCCCACTGTCCAATTCTGCTGCCGTCTCCGCAGGCTGCCAGCGGACCATAACAAGGATTGGGGGTGGAAGTCCCATTGAGATAAAGTTAATGGGTTCTATCCAACGACATGAAAGTTCATGTGGACAAAAGCAAGGTTTTTATACCTGGGCAGGAAAAGCCAAAGGTACAAGCACAGATTAGGTGAAACCTGGCTCAAAAACTGTGACTGTGAGAGGGACCTTAGACTTCTAGTGGCCGATCCCTATCCCTTAAACATGAGCCAGCCGTGTGCGGCAGCAGCCAAAAAAGCAAACACAATCCTAGGTTGTATAAACAGAGGCACAGAATCCAAATCATGCGAAGTATTAGTTCCGCTTTATAAAGCCTCAGTAAGGCCACACCTGCAATACTGCATCCAAGTTTGGTCACCACACTACAAAAAAGATGTTGAAACTTTGGAAAAAGTGCAGAGAGCAGCAATTAAGATGATTAAGGGCCTGGAGATAAAAACGTATGAAGAACAGTTGCAGGATTTGGGTTTGGCTGGTCTAGAGAAAAGGACTAGGGGGGACATGATAGGAATATTCCAATATTTGAGGGGCTGCCACAAAGAAGAGGGGGGGGTGTCAACTTATTTTCCAAATCACCAGAAAGAAAGATAAGAAACAATGGTTGGGAACTAATCAAAGATAGAATCAACCTGGAATTAAGGAGAAATTTCCTAATAGTGAGGACAATTGACCAGTGGAGCAGTTTCCCTCCAGAAGTTGTTCTGGGGGTTTTTAAGAAGAGACTGGACAGTCACTTGTCTGAAATAATATAGGATCTCCTGCTTGAGCAGGGGGCTGGACTAGAAGACCTTCAAGGTCCCTTCCAGCTCTATTCTGATTCTGATTTTATCCAGATCCCATAATTGTTAGTTTCTATTTGTGTTCTTCGCCGTGTCCATTCCACCCCTTGTAAAAAAAAAAAAAGAAGTCACCGGATATTTGGGACCACAGCTGCCTGAATCGTCAATCACGAGACAAGGAGGGTGTCTATAGAGTGTCTTGGTAGATCTAGCTTTGAGATAACATGCCGCCCATGGCTTTTGTCTTCTAGGAGAAAGAGAAGAAGTACATGCTGCCGGTGGACAACTTGAAGGTGCGAGACATCGAGAAAAGTTTCATGTCCAGCAAGCACATCTTTGCCCTCTTCAATACGGAGCAAAGGTAGGATCTTCTTCTGGACCCGCTCAAGAGGATGACCTCAGCAAGTAGGCAAGTCTACGAAATGTTTCACCTTCTTTCCTTCCCCCGCCACCACCCAGGAATGTTTACAAAGATTACCGTCAACTGGAGCTGGCGTGTGAAACCCAGGAGGAGGTAGATAGTTGGAAGGCGTCCTTCCTGCGGGCTGGAGTTTACCCAGAACGCGTTGTGGTGAGTTTGAGGAGCAGTGGAAAATGAAACATGAGCAGGAGTGAAAGTTGGAAATTGAACCATCTCACTGAGACTTAGTTCTGCGTTTGTTTAGATCACCGATTGGGGTGAAAATCAAGAAGAGGAGGAAGAATTCTAAACTTCTTCCCTTCCCCTATTTTAAACAGAAGTCGTGTTCTTTGCAGGATGCAATGCGTGGTGGAGAAGTCTTAATTTTATCAAGTAGGGCCCTCTCAGTTTAAAATTGGGTGTAAAGGAGTGTAAAGGGACGCGGTGGCTCAGTGGCTAAGATGCTGAGCTTGTCAATTGGAAAGGTCAGCAGTTTGGCGGTTCGAATCCCTAGCGCCGCATCACGGAGTGAGCTCCCGTTCCTTGTCCCAGCTTCTGCCAACCAAGCAGTTCGAAAGCATGTAAAAAAAATGCAAGTAGAAAAATAGGGACCCCCTTTGGTGGGAAGGTAACAACGTTCCATGCACCTTTGGCATTTAGTCATGCCGGCCACATGACCACGGAGGCGTCTTGGGACAGCGCTGGCTCTTCGGCTTTGTAACGGAGATGAGCACTGCCCCCAGAGCCGAAAACGACTGGCACGTATGTGCGAGGGGAACCTTAACTTTTACCTTACAGCAGGGGTGTCCAACCTTGGGAATTTGAAAACTTGTGGACTTCAACTCCCAGAATCCCCCAGCTGGGAGTTGAAGTCCACAAACCTTCAAATTCCCAAGGTTGGACATTCCTGAACTGCCGCATCCCCTAGGAGGAGAAGCCAGGGAATGACAACATGAAATAGACTCTTGCAAACATCTTTTTTCCAAGATTTTTCGTAAATGTGCAGAGGAGGCCAGAAAGGAAAGAGACCCCAATATTAGCTTTTGATTCTAACTGGTGGGCTGCCATGTTGAATGGTCCACCAGAAGGACAATGGCGCCATCTGTTGGCGAGGCTCTGGAACAACAGCACCTTCATTGGCTCCACCATACATTGTGTTCTTGTTAAGATTTCAGTTTTCAACCAATTTTCTGTTGTCTCCTTTTGTTTTTTTTTATTTTTCTTCCTTTGCACTCCCCATCCAAGTGTTACATTTTATGGGTGCTAATCCCTCGAGTTTCGTCCGCTTTCCATTCAATCCTGCACCGATGCTGAGAAAAAAATGGCTTTGCTGGCAAATCACTTGTTTTAAGAAGTGATGTTTAAGATTGACAGATCGGTGACGTGTTAGCAAATCATTCTCAGTGCTTAAAGATCACTGAAATACATTTTCCCCCCATAAGCATCTCCAACCTCATTCTGAAGGTCTTTCAGTGCTGCCCTTAAGCCAATTTTATTTTTAATTGGTTGCCTTTTGACTTTGGGTAAAGATCCCGTTCCAATTATATCCATGAATACACTGAATTACTTAGCCAGGAAATATACCTACCTTCTTTTTTAAAAAATCACATTTTTTTCTTGTTTTTTTTTGTGTGTGTGCTCAAACTGGCCTCACAGGACAAAGATAAAGTAAGTGACGGATCCTTCTTTTCCTGTGCCATTTTCCTTTGAATTATACTTTTTTTCATTGGACGCATTTTTAAACTCCTTTTTTTCTTTAATTTAAACTTTTATCCCTATATTCTAAGAGAAAACTTTGTCCTTCATCTTTTTTTCTCTCCATACTATGTTGCCTGCTTGGTTTTGTTTCTGATCCTTTCTAGGATGTTCCTTTCTGCCTGTTTCCATCTTCTCTGGAACATATCCCCCCCCCCTCCCCAATTCATAAGCTATATCAGAAAGAAAAAACACACACAATTTTTTATATATACTGCATATAATATTTAGTTTCCCAATCATTGGTCCCCGGGGCCTGCCAGGTATGTACATTTTAACGTAAATTATTATAGGTTTAGAGATTAAATCCAAACATCACGGGATTGAGGGATTGAGTCACAATTGCACATCAAACTGCAAGGTGGCTTTTACCCCTCACACTTAAACTTGGTTCTGAATTGGTTTTCTGGTTTTCAAATCAACGCCAAAACCCGAATCCTAATTCTCGACCTGAATTTGATTTTGCAGACCTTGGATGCAGGAGTGTTTTTAGAGAGCTCCAGTGTAAGCAGGTAATGATGGTGATCAGATAAAACTGATCAACCTGATAAAACTCGTCCTTCTACAAAATCAAGTTTCGTATCTCGGGAGAACAAGTCTCCGTTTTCTTCCGTAAATGATTTAGATAAGCTGCATGGGAAGATGATGGTTCCTCAAAGCAAGGGTAGGCAACGAAGGTCCAGATTAAGCCTTGGATCTGATCCTAACCTCCTAATGAAGCTTCTTATCTAGAAGTTCAGAGAAGCATCAGAGGAGCTCCATGGAAAGTAGGCGATGGTAGGTTTTAGAACGTGGACCTCTTTGGCTTTTGATGTTTAATGGCTTGCTTTATCTCCCCATCGGTCTTCTGCAGTCTGCAGAGTCAGAAGAGAATGGCTCGGACAGCTTAATGCATTCAATGGATCCCCAGCTGGAGAGGCAAGTGGAAACGATCCGGAACCTTGTTGATTCCTACATGGCCATCGTCAACAAAACCATCCGTGATCTGATGCCCAAGACAATCATGCACCTTATGATAAACAATGTACGTATGACACACCATATATGATGTATGTGAATTGTATGGCGTTTTATGGGTGGTCTAGAGCCACCTCTTGAGTTCAAAAGCAGAAGGTTCTGGAGTAGCATGTTGATTGACCGGAAACAAAGTCAACTGTTGGCTTTGGGGTTCCCAACAGACGAGTCTAGTGGAGAGAAGGACCAGGGGGAACATGATACCAGAGTTTGAAGGGCTGCCACAGAAAGGGTCAAGCTGTTTTCCAAAGCACCTGAAGGCCAGACAAGGGATAATGGATGGAAACTGATCAAGGAGAGATTCAAATGAGAAATATGGAGGAATTTTCTGAGAATAATCAACCCTTGGAACAGAAGTTGACTTCGGAAGTTGTGGGAGCTTCATCACTGGAGGCTTTCAAGAAGAGACTGGACTGCCACCTGTCAGAAATGGTGTAAGGTCTCCTGCCTGGGCAGGGGGGGTGTTGGACTAGATGACTTAGAAGGTCCCTTCCAACTCTGTTAATCTAACATGGGGAGTGAGGAAAACTGATGATGAAGGAACAGGCAAATAAGAATATATTATCTTGTGATCCACCAGAGCCTAGAAGATTGGCAGAAAAAAAAAAAAGAGAGAGATGATGGAATGGGGTTGGAGAGAACTTAGTCCTGGCTAGGAGATATGATGAAAGACCTCTCTATTAGCCTACTTTAAATCACAAAGATGTTCTTGTGTAGGGAGGATTGTTACTGCATTGGTTTCCTTTACTCATTGGTTTAAAGCCTTTGTACCTACTCAACCTTTCAATCTAAGACACAAAGTGAAGCCAAAAGCCAGCTTCACGGACTTGTTCTGAAAGCTCTATCGATGACAAAGCGTGATCAATTCTCAGATTTAAATCAGGAGTGGGCAACCATTGAGGAATCCAGAACTCCAATAATTTTTCTCTGGGTAGGGATGACGAGCGGTCACCAGAGGTGATCCTCAAAGGGAATGATAAGATAATTCAGATGGTTGGATGAAGGAAACCAGTCAATCCCACCATCACCATCTAAGGTCCCTGGGTGAGTTGGGGCCATCAATAACCTCTTGGAGTGATTACTTTGGGATGTTGGAAGTAGAGAGAAGAGGCGCCTAGAGAAAAAGTAAGCGATGACATTAACCTAAAAGAAGGAACCGTCGTAGAGCTGTACAGATGAACAGAATAGAATAGAATTCTCTATTGGCCAAGTGTGATTGGACACACAAGGAATTTGTTTTTCGTGCCTATGCTCTCAGTGTACATAAAAAGAAAAGATACATTCATCAAGAATCATCAGATAGAACACTTAGTGATAGCCATAGGTTAGTAAATAAGCAATCAAATCATACTAGGTAACAAAACAGTATAAACCGTAGAGATACAAACAGCAAGGTTATAGTCCTAAGTGGGAGGAGATAGGTAATAGGAAGTATGAGAAGAATAGTAGCAATACAGTCTTAGTAAATAGTTTGACAGTGTTGTAGGAATTCGTTGCTTAGCAGAATGATGGCATGGGGGGGGAAACTTATTTATTTATTTTTATTTATTTATTTGATTTGTCAATTGTTTACAAGATAATAAGTATAAGTGTATACATAGTTGTGAATACATGAGATGGGTACATATAAGAAAAATAAAAGAATAGAGAAACAATAGGACAGGGACGGTAGGCACGTTGGTGCGCTTATGCACGCCCCCTACAGACCTCTTAGGAAAGGGGTGAGGTCAATAGTAGACAGTCTAAGGTTAAAGTTTTTGGGGTTTGGGGAAGAAACTACAGAGTCGGGTAGAGTATTCCAGACATTGACCACTCTATTGCTGAAGTCGTATTTCCTGCAATCAAGTTTGGTGCGGTTTACTTTGAGTTTGTATCTATTGTGTGCTCTTGTGTTGTTATGGTTGAAGCTGAAGTATTCATTGACAGGTAGGACATTGCAATGTATGATTTTATATACCATGCTTAAGTCAGACCGAAGACGGCGTAATTCAAGGTTTTCTAGTTCTAGAATTTCAAGTCTGGTGGCATAAGGTATTCTACAGCGAGTAGAGGAGTGGAGAACTCTTCTTGTGAAATATTTCTGGACTTTCTCAATTGTGCTAATATCAGATACGTAATGAGGGTTCCAGACTGATGAACTGTATTCGAGTATTGGTCTAGCAAATGTTTTGTATGCTCTGGTTAGTAGTGTGATATTGCCAGAGAAAAAGCTACGTAGGATTAGGTTAACAACTCTTAATGCCTTTTTGGCTATGTAGTTGCAGTGGGCTCTAGCACTCAGAAAACTGTCCTTGTGTCTAGTCGTTCGGGTGTGCAGTGCTCTATAGCATTATTTTGAGGGTAGAAGTTGAAACAATTTATGTCCAAGATGTGAGGGGTCCATAGATGTTTTCATTGCCCTCTTTGGGACTCGTGCAGTGGAAGGCAGGTTGGTAGCAATTGTTTTTTTCTGCAGTCCTAATTATTCATTGAAGGGACACGATGGCTCAGTGGCTAAGACGCTGAGCTTGTCGATCAGGAAGGCCGGCAATTCAAGCAGTTCAAATCCCTAGTGCCGTGTCATGGAGTGAGCTACCGCTACTTGCCCCAGCTTCTGCCAACCTAGAAGTTCGAAAGCATGTAAAAATGCAAGTAGAAAAGTAGGGACTAATTTGGTGGTAAGGTAACAGTGTTCCGCGCGCCTTCGGCGTTTAGTCCTGCCGGCCACATGACCATGGAGACGTCTTCGGACAGCGCTGGCTCTTCGGCTTTGTAACGGAGATGAGCACCGGCCCCTAGGGCTGGAAAAGACTAGCACGGATGTGCGAGGGGAACCTTTACCTTTGTCTAATTACCCTCTGGAGTCTGTGTCTGTCCTGTTGGGTTGCAGAGCCAAACCAGACAGTTACAGAGGTGCAGATGACAGACTCAATCGTTCCTCTGTAGAACCAAACCAGCAGTTGACACAGACCATGACCTCTGTCTTCTGCCTCCTCCCTGGCAGACCAAGGAGTTCATCAACTCCGAGCTCCTCGCCAACCTCTACTCCTGCGGTGACCAGAACACCCTCATGGAGGAGTCGGCCGAACAAGCCCAGCATCGCGACGAGATGCTGCGCATGTACCACGCCCTGAGAGAGGCCCTGAACATCATCGGGGACATCAACACCACAACCATTAGCACCCCGCTGCCTCCGCCGGTGGACGACTCTTGGCTGCAGGTGCAGAACATACCGTCCGGACGCAGGTACCCGAGGCGCAGGGGGGAGGCCCCGCTGACCTTCCTGGCGCCTCTGCCCAGCCGGATAGGTGGCCGCAGTGGTGGGATTCAAGTTTTTTTTTTACTACCGGTTCTGTGGGCATGGCTTGGTAGGCATGGCTTGGTGGGCGTGGCAGGGGAAGGTCACTGCAAAATCCCCATTCCCTCCCCACCCCACTAACCTGCTTTCCAGCTCCGTTCTCCTGTGCAGGGCAACAAAAGGAGACACAGCCGATCAGAGAATAGATGGGGGGCGGGGCCAGTTCAGAGGTGGCATTGGCCAGTTCTCCGAATTCCTTTCCACCTTGGCCACCTTAGAAGACCATGTTGTCTTCCTGCCTTTTTTTGATAGGAGTCCATTTGAATCCTTCATCCTTCAGAGTAGGTCTTTCCTTGGCCATTTCACAGGAGCTTACAGATTGCTGGAAAAATTGTTCACCAAGTGTGAGATTTGGAGAGCCCACTGGGAGGCCCCATTACAGGCCTGGGGGAAAAAGGGACCCCGCACCGTTTTTCACACTTATGACCGCCGTGGCATCCACCACGGTCACGTGATCGAAATTCAGCCGCTTGGCAACCGACTCCTACTTAGGACGGGTGGCAGTGTTCTGGGGTGTGTGTGTGTCAGCTTTGGAAGCCATCTTGAGGCCAGATGCTCCCACGCTGCCACATTTTCAACCTGGGACAATGGGAGGGGGGAATTTCTTGGAGTGTATGTAGCTAGACATAACAACATTCTTTTTCTAATTCAAGGTCACGTTCTTTTGCACCTAAGTGATGGGAAGTCTCAAGTTGGGACAGATGGTGATGGGGGCATGTGATGTGATGATGGGTGCAGGGGATGGATTTGTAGTTCTTGACTTATTGCGAGGAAACCCAGGACTTTCCCAGTTGTGCCAGTTTACTATCCAATTAAAACTTTTGAGAAGATGTCTGTCTCAGAGTTATTTGCTGGAGTGGAGGTTTTGTGGAACGGTGACATTATTCCGCATCCCCTGTTGGAACTACATACACTCCAAGAAACTCTCATTTTCCCAGGCTCAAAATGTGGCCGTGTGGCTGTCTCAATATGGCTTCCAAAACTGACTGTGTGTCTGTGTGTGTGTCACATCCAACCCCCCTTTTGTCAACCTTCTGACAAGTAAAGTAGAAGCCAGGTTGACTTCACGATTTATCGACTGCAGGGATTTCACTGAGCAACTGCGACAAGAAAAGGGGGTAAAATGGGGTAAAACTCGCTTAACGGAAAATTGGGGGCTCAATTGTGGTTGTAAGTCCGGGATAGCCTGTATGTACATGCCACATCCAAGCTCGTATATGGGTGGACAGGATTTAATTTGGCTTCTTTGGGCGACCAAAGGTGGCAAACAAGAAAGGACCGTTGCACCAGCAGACACTAATACAGGTAGTCCTCGACTTACGACCACAAACTTCTGTTGTTAAGTGAGATGTTCATTTGGCCCCGTGATGCAAGCTTTCTTTGCCGCCGTCCTTAAGTGAGTCACTGCAGCTGGTCGGCGAGTAACCCGGTTGGGAAGCGAATCTGGATTCTGTTGCCAAGTGAGACATTTCTTAAGCGAGTTTTGCCACCCATTTTGCGACCTCTCTTGAAACAGTTATTAAGCGAATCCCTGTGGTCGTTAAAATTAGTAACCCATTTGTTAAGCGAATCTGGCTCCCTTGTTGTCGGGAGGTCACAAAGGGGAGGATCGCGGAACTCCCAGGGACGGCTGCGGCCGTCACAAATACGCATCAGCTGCCAAACGTCTCCATTGTGATGACAGGGAGGCTGCAACGGTCGTCAGTGTGAAAAACGGTCATAAGTATAAGTCACCTTTTTCGAAGCGTTGCAAGTCGAGGGCCACCCGTTCCCGGAATCCGACCGCCTTCATCTCTCTTGAATGCTCTTTGGGGCGTCTCCGCTAAGGACCCCTCCAGCTGACCCGTTCTCTCCCTTGGCAGGTCTCCCACCTCCAGCCCCACGCCGCAGAGAAGAGCGCCGGCAGTCCCTCCCGCCAGACCTGGATCGCGGGGACCAGCTCCTGGACCTCCGCCTGCTGGTGGACCCAGCCTCGGTGGTGCTCCGCCTGTGCCTTCCAGGCCGGGGGCCTCTCCTGATCCTTTTGGGCCACCCCCGCAAGTCCCCTCGCGGCCCAACCGCGCGCCCCCAGGGGTCCCAAGGTAGGTGAGACCAGGCCACGCACGATTGGCAGTGGAACTCAAACCGACTTTATTTCCAGGAGTTTTAGAATGGGCGTCCTTTAACCAAATTGTTGTGTTGCATCACTTGTAAACAATGGGGCCAATGCTTGCTGTCCTGGGCACTTATGGGATTCTTTGGGAAGTGGGTGAGTAGGTATTTCATGCTCCCTTTGTGTAGTTGAATGTCAAAAGGATTTTCCGTTTGGCCCAGGCTTCACAGAAGCAGGAAGTAAGACTCCCCACCCAAAAAAAAAAAACCCCTTCTTTATTTACACATTGGCAATCGCTGTTCTGACCCAAACTCTTTTCCAACAAAACAAACACGAACCAAAGGGAACAGAAACCTTTGAATGATTCTTACGAATCCCCGGTTAAAAGGCTGCTGCAAACTAATGAACTTTGATAAACACAAACCTCACCAAAACTGTGCAAGAATCACAGATAAGAAATATTTCACAACAGAAGAGTCTTCAAATACCAACTTAAGATACTGTAATGTCCACGAGGCTGAGTTTCAAAACGTCTTTGCTTCCTGCAAAGAACGTCGGATTCACAGCTGGCTTTTATCTTCTTGAAGGAGGGACCATTACCTTGCAGCCTTACTCCCGAATCGCCTGTGCTGCTGCAGCTGCTCTTTCCTGCAAGCAGCCCTGCGTGCACTTGGCACAGGTTCCTCGGGAACCTCATCGCTGCTGCCAGCCCCCACAATCTCGGAAGGCAGCAGTCCAGTCCCTAATGGTCCTGGCTCCTCATCTGAGTCCTCGCTCTCCTCAGCCGTCCCCATCTGCTACCAGCTAACCACAACAATAGCTGCATTCACCAACAGAAAGTGCAGGCAAGAGTCCTGCAAGAAGTTAACTGAAACAATAGTCCATATCAGCTCATTATGATAAATGCAAGGTTGCTAGCTCCCAGCCGGGAGGCTGCAAATTAAGTCAGTTCACACAGAGAAATAGACAAACCTCAGTTCTGGCAAGGCAGTCTTTGTCACACAAAACACACAAGGAGCAAACTTCCCAGAAATGCGAACCGTTGTCTGTGACAATGAAACCACTCCCCTTTCCTCCTATTTATTCCCCAGCCAGGGAAGGGCCAGTCAGCGTCCACATTTGTTTTGTTTCCTGAGCCTAGCTCATTGTCCTCCGTTGTTCACCTCTCCTATCTGCTCTGCGCATACGCGCATCTGGAACAGGCCCCAGCTGTTCCTCCTCCTCACTCAACTCTGACTCCAAAGGCAGTTGCCTCTCTGGTGGCTGGGAAATGCTGGACGACCCTGGCTCTATCTCTGTGTTTGATGCTGAGCATCCATCAGAGCCTTCCCCAGGTTCCAGAGCTGGCCCAGGTTCTTCCCCAACCCCCGAATCTGCCGCCAGCTCTGCTGGCAGCTGGCGGGCCACAAAAAAACTGTCAGGTTTTAAGCAGAAGGCAGAATCTAAAGTGGGATGATCTCATCTTCCAGATGAGATCCACCCTTTCTTCTCGGGGAAAATCTTGCAAACTTCCACCTGGAAAAACACAAAAGCCAACGATATACACACACATACACAAAGCCAAATATGTTATTGTACAATGAAGTGTAGAAGAATTCTGTCCTGCAAAACAGGAATGGCCTTGTATTACCGCAACATGTTTCTTTGTGGGAACAGCCCTAAGTTTGTAGTCTTGGGGTACAGATGTCCTGCTGAATTAAAACAGTAATCCAATTCCGGGGAATCAGGCGCATTTAAGAGAAGTCAATTGTTCTGGATCCAGTGGCAACAAGGCCTCTTTGCGGTGGGATTTTTGCCTTTATATGCATCAAATTGTTTTTGGTTTGCTGTTCAGTTGAACTATACCGAGACGAAGCAGGGTTTTGTAAAGCAATATCTGTGTAACGGGGATACATTTTGTTTTGCACTTTTGATAATTTGGTTGCAAAGAAAAACACCTAGAGGTAAGTGCAGAATTCAACGTTTCCTGGTTCTCGAGGAGGGAAATTCCATACCTCCTGCTTATTTCTCATAGTTAGCCATGGATTCTCCAGAATTTGTAAACGCCTCCGATGCTTATGTGATTTTAGAAAACTCAAGAGAACGAGGGCACGGCCTCAAATGTCCAATTTTTCTGTTTCCCTTTTCCTCTTTGCCCTCGCTTACAAAGTTTGGGGTTATCTCAGGAGGCACATCTTCCTGATTGCTGCTTCTTTGATCAGCTGTATGAAGACTAGAGGGAGTCCTCGTTTAGCAACCAGAGTTGGGACTGGCAACGAAACAGGCACCAAGTTGGACCCCAACTGCTCTTGTCACCTTATTTCAGTTTCCTTTGCTCCGTCAACGCGAGGAGTGGTGGCAATGGGTTACTTTTTCACCATCGTGGTAACTGTGAATGGGGGCTAGCTTTGCTTTCAACTTTAAATGTAACACAAAGGTAGAAAAACTTGGGAATGTTTATATATATATACTCAAATCTTAGGCTGCCTGAGGTTTTGCCTGATGTTCCGTAGCACAGAAGGGGATGAGTTAGAAATGGAACAAGATGCTGGTTTATGCTGAACAAGCTGCGTTGTGTTGGGCTAATGGTTGTTTCAACCCACAGCATTCCCATTTGGTGCCTTGTTTTTCCAGATGCCTAGAGGATTATTCTGTTCCTTTCTTCTTTTGCTATGTCTGTCTCTCTGGTTGTTTGCATGTCCTGCTACTTTTGTGCAAGCTTTGTTTTGATTTTTCCTCCATCTCACCTCATTTTCTGGTTCCTTTTTTTCCCCCTTTCTTCCTTTCTTGTGGACAATCCTTTATTTCCATTTGGGCTGAATTTCAGTGTCCGTCCTCTCCAGGGTCTGTTTCCATTCTCTTCTTCAATTTCTCTGTTTTCCATCCCTTCATTCAGATTATATATTCTATATACAGGCAGGAGAGTCCAGAGGGGCGGAAATCAATGGGTCTCCCTCCCTTCAGGCATATAAACCAACTGCCCCATTCCATAGCCCCACAGCCCACCATGAAAGTTTGGGTCACATGTCAGAAGTTGCCGTTAGCTTGATCCTCATCTCCCCGAATTCTTCCACGTACCATGAAAGAAATGTAAGGGGATCACTGTGTTGTTCCTGTTCCTCATTTGGGCTCTAGATATGTTCTGGAACCTCTACATTCCAGCTACTATGGAAAAAGAATTTGCAGGTCCCCTCCCATATTTGCAGGATTTGGGTTGGGCTAGTCTAGAGAAAAGAAGAACTAGGGGTGACTTGATAGCAAGTCTTCCAGTATTTGAGGGGCTGCCCCAAAGAAGAGGGGGACAAATGATTCTCCAAAGCACCAGAGGGCAGGACAAGAAACAAGGGATGGAAACTAACCAACGAGAGAAGCAACCTGGAATTGAGGAGAAACTTCCTAACAGTGAGGACAATCAACTGGTGGAACAGCTTTGCCTTCAGACGTTGTGGGTGCTCCATCACTGGAGGTTCTGAAGAAGAGATTGGACAGTCACTTGTCTCAAATGACATAGGATCTCCTGCTTGAGCAGGGGGCTGGACTAGAAGACCTCCAGGATGCCCTCCAGCTTTGTGCTGATTTTTTTTTTTGTCCAAATGGTCAAATCACTCCTTGTAAGATATGTAGAACAACCTTCAAGAGGTAATTGTATTGCAGCTGGTCATCACGAGATTAAACATTTCACCAAGGTAGGGCATTCCATGAGAAGTAGAGTCAGCTTTCCATCAGCTTTCCTCAGATGGAAGTCCTTCAGTAGAGGTTGTGGCCTACTCTATCTCACAAGGGATCTACTAAAAGAAATTCACCTTTAAGATTTATCTCCCAAATCAAGTAGGAGCAGAATCTCTCTCTCTCTCTCTCTCTCTTCCTCCTCCACTACCAGTGTAATTCCTTTCCTATATGGCGTCCCTTCACCACCACAACCCAACCTCTGAGATGGCACACCAAGCCTCCTTAGGCCATCTCTTGTATATAGAATAAGTTGGTTCACCCTTGCCAGATGGCCTTGTCCTCTTGCTAGGAGTCCACCATCTTCATTTTTGTCATTGTTTGTCCTTCTTTCTCTCCCCTCGCTTCTTTTTCTTCCCGTTTGTGGGAGGAAAAAAAATTGGCGCCCGGAGTGGGATGGAGAAGAAGCACATCAAACTTTGCAGTGTGTTTGTGTGTGAATCTGTCTGTATCCAGAAGGATCCTTCTGCCTTCCTGTTTTGGAATACTTTGGGATGAGTATTTTGAAGGTCTGCCCTCACAGGGTAGACCTCCCCCCCTCCCTGTCTACACAATCAAGACCCTCAAAGCGCATTGGGTTATGTGAGCTGTCACCCCAATGCCGAGCGGACACCAAATTGTGGGTCACAGCAAGAGACGTCACCTTCTTGACTATGATGAGGCCTTCGTCAAGCAGCGTTGTGGTATGCAGTGTGTGCATTTACCCCAGTCCAACCCACTGCTGATTGCCTCTTTTTGGCCTGTGTGTGCACTGTTGATATGCTCCCAGGGAGTGTGAGTCCCAACAACTGCGTGGAACCCATTGTCTCTTTCTGTGTCCGCTGCGCAGTGGTTTATAGCCGTGTCTTCTGACTACCACCTGCTTTGTCTTCTCTGTGCGCTTGGGGCAAGTGCCAGCATGGGTCTCACCTCGCTTCTTCTCACCGGCCTCTGTGTGGGGGTACGCGAGTCCCTGCGTTTTTCTCCAAGCTGTCCACCCTTCTGCCTTCGTGTCTGAACTGCCCTGTTGCTCTCATGTTGTCTTTTCAGAATCACTATCACTGATCCTTGAGGACTGGCAGAAACCGGTACGTTCTTCGCTGTGTTCACCCCGGCCTCCGCTGATGCACGAGTCGGTGTGGTTAACCTTTCTGTCTCCTCGTCCCATTTCCTCTCCATCTCGCCCCACCCAGTTCGCCCTTGTGCCACTCGCCTCTCCTAGAGCAGCATGGGGGGGTCTGTAGGGGATAGCCTTGCTTTCTCCACCCAGCCTGCAAACCTCTTGGCTGTTGGGAGGACCGGGGAAATCTTCAGGAGCACAAAGACATCGTTTGTAGGAAGGAGACGAAGAACCATGGTAGTGTACCTATTAGATCCCACAAAACTGGGCAGTGGGACAGAGAAGGGATAGACATGGGTGACGTCCCCAGTTTTGATCCACCCATTGTTGTCTCAGCCTGGAGTATTGCTTTCTGGGGTCCCAAATTGCAAAACTACAACCTAGGTTCCTACAACTTTGATTCCTGGTGTGTACTCTGTTTATTTAAAGCCTTTCCCAGCATTCATCTCCTAATGTACACCCAGACTGTAGTAGAGTAGCAGCATTGGGTTATGTATGTTTTAGTGACATTTGTGGAAGAACATTCCTTAGATTGCACTCTAGGGCAGTTTGGGCCTCAACTCCTATTTTTAAGAAGGATGGAGAGCCATCATCTCAGCATTTGAAGGACTGAGGCAGAACTTTAGAACCATAACGTCCTTTGCTGTTCTTGTGTATCTTCTCATCACTAAAACGCTGAAGTTTGTCATGTCTTCAGCATCAAGTCCATGTTTGTCAGTGGTGTGGCAATGTTACGTAGAATAAGAAGGCGGCCAGTTGAATCCCACCAACTCCAGGGTTTGCAGATGGCAATGTGATATTTCCCTAACAGAAGTGTCATCTGTTATAAGGGTTCAATGCTTTCCCAACTCAGGTGCTGTCCAGTTATATATCCCGTCATCCCTATTCATCACACACAAGACATAGACAATGCCCCCAATGACAGTTCCCGTCGTGAGTTTTCTTGACATCTCCTATACCCGACTTCATTTTCTCTACTGTAGAGCCTGCCCCAACTCTCTCTATATATATTTTTCTGCATAGCCTTCCGGACACCCCATCCTAACACCCTCAAAAGTTTCAGGCACTTACTCCACCATTCTCACTTAATTTGAGGGAAAGAATAACAGACGGTGGGAAAAACCTTGAATAGACTTCATAAATTTGTGTGAATTTAAGGTAGGGCAGTTGCAAGATTCCGATCTTTGAGAATGTTTCTCTCTTTTGTAATGTGGTTTGTTGATGCTGGGAACCCCGCCTTTGCTGCGGCTTTTCCCTCTCAAAAGTCCCAACAATCAACACTGCAGTTAAGAAACAGAGAATTATTCCAGATTATTCGTGAATTTCAGCTCCTTTGACTAGCTGGAGCCTCTAAGAACCATAGTCCATCAACATTTGGAAGAACGTAAGCGCCTCCTTTCTACAAACGGGAGGTCCAAAGCATTGAAAAATGAATATGGACAGTCAACCAAACAGTTGTAGCGTTGGCAGCCAAGGTCAACATTTATGACCAGCATAAATGTTATGCATCAAGACTGTTCATCTATTTCTGCTTAGGGTTGCATGAACATGTTCCTCTACTGGACATTTTCAGATTGCCAAGTCCCTGCCCAATCTTTGTGTGTGAGAGTGTGCGTGTGCCTGGAATGTCTATGCGCCAAAAGAAAAATAAATAAGGGATTTACCCTGATTATCCTCCCCGCCTCCCATCTTCCCCAATATTAACACACTCGCTTCCTTTTAAACTGGATAAGGAATACCATGACATAAACCTGCATTTGCTATTGATGTTCTTTCTAACTAGTTCCTGAAAAACAGAGAGAGAGAAAGAGAGAGAGATTGGATAAGGAAGCAGTGGGCTTGGAATGAAATCAGAAAACCCTTCATAGAAATTCTGATAAAGTCCTCTTTAAGAGGCCCAATCCGTACCAGGTGCACTCCAGACCTTAATGGAGGCGTGAGATGTTGTTCTTGTGTTTTAAAAAAAACAACAGAGTGAGTCCAATGGTATATGGTTGGGCACATTAATCTCCAATGTATCTCATTCCACCATCCAGAACTCTGGTTAGATCTTTCCTTATCTCACATCAGAGGCTTGTAGCTCAACTGGCAACATGACAACCCATCAATAGGTGAAAATTGGTCTTTCTTCTAAAGGGTCTTTTTGACTTCGTGGCTTCTGGTCCATCCAATTCAATTCAGGCATGGCTACTCAGTTTTTGTTGGACTCCTTACAAGAGCTGGTCTTTCTGAAGAAGCTCCGCTGTGGCCCTTTGGGGACCTACTGTTAAAAAAAAACACCAAAGATTGTGGGAAGCCCTGAGAAAATCAGCTAGAGGTGACTTGGAAAAGGCCACGTGGTCACTTCTATAAGTCCACAGAGCTGCATTGGAAGAAGTAGCTGATATAATAAGTTCCCGTTTAATCCATTTGTCATCTCCCAAAGTAAATTGAGGTTGATGGACCAGAAATGCCCATGAAGGCCACAGCATCCAGCCAACCTTGGTTGATCTTGGAAGACCAAGGTTGTAGCCTAGGCTGGGAAGTTGAAAAACACACCAGAAGACCTCTTCATATTGCACCTATGAAAATTACATGGTCATTGCCATGAAGTTCTTGCAACTTCAGGAAATTGGTGACAGAGGCACTTTGTTAATGAAGATGGCCTTGGAAGCCTTCAGAGATGGAGGTCAAGGCTTGTTCAGACAGATAGCCTCAACTTTCTTCCATAATTCTTTCTAAAATATGCTTAGTTTGGATTTTCCAACATTTCACGTTGAATCCAGTCCATCAGTGAATCCAATCAAGTTGTACTTGAGTTGAAAGCATAATTGATGGTTGCTTCTCCCTCCAGGAAAGATCTCACCCCATTCATGCCCTTGGAGTGGTCCTCACAGCTCGGAAGGGTGGAAGACGGTGTGGGGAATCCCATGTGGGGCTAAGTGAAGGGGTGAAGCTCCTAGAGGGTGCAGACCAGCAATCAGGTTGATGACTAGCTGTCAACTTCAGAAACAGGCCTTCACAGAGGGTACCTCCATCTCAAATAACATTTTTCTTCATGCGCTTGGACAAACAACATCGCCATTGTTGTGCTTCATGCTTCTCAACAGCCATCTAGGGGCCAGGACCACCATCCAGTGGTGGGGCTTGGGAAAGCCTGGATGGATTCCATCTAGAAGACCAACCACCAGATTCCACCCAATGGTCACTAGAACGTCCTCTCTTTAATCAGCAATTTGGATGCAAAAAGGGGGTTAAAATGAGTGAGTGGCTGCCGTCAGGGACATGGACACAATATCTGTGGTCCTGGCCAAGATGAGGTGGTGAGAAGCATGACCAATTGCAGTTGGCCACCATGCTAATCTCCGTCTGTGTGTTTCTCTTCTCGCTTTCTTTTTATCTCTTCTGCCTTCACAGCCGGAAAGGCCCTTCTTCACCTACACGAGCCACATTAATCCGACCAGCTGAATCTTCCCTCTTAGATTTATAACCCAAGGCCTGTAGACAGCTGGTGACAAGCCCATGTCCCCTGCCTGGGTTTCCCTCTACTCTGCCAACCCAGCATCCCCTCGGCTCTTCTGCCCCTTCCTCTATGTGGTTTAAAAAAAAAACATGCTCGTTTATAGTGAATTGAGCCCTTTGTCTAGTAGTGTGCGTCCGTATTGCTTGTGAGCCTAGAGTAGTCCTCCTAGTCAAAGGGCATGAATCGTGGATGCCGTGAGTTCTCCGCAGCGCAGACTTACAGGAGCATCCGTGCCTCGACATACCCAACTCGTCTTGGGTTCGGTGTCCTGCCTGCCTGGGTCAGCTGTAGCCCTTAATCCGTAGCAACGTAGCCCATTTTGTCCCCTTTACTGTAGTAGAGACAGAAACCCATGGTCTTGTACTGCAAACTCTTTTGAGAAGGACCACACTCAGCGAGAGGACCTGGACTGGAATGCTTTCATGTTCTTGAGAAGTGGGATTGAATTCAAGGTGCAGCCACGGGGGCCCGATGTGGGGCTGACCCCCTTTTTTTCAAGCAGGGCCAACTGGTTTGGTGGCCTGGGAGGGCTTCCTGGATGGCGCAGACTTCCAGAGGATCTGATCGGATCGATTGAAACCAACGCTCAGAGGTCACCCTCCGTTCTCGGAGAGACCCAACAGGAGACTTGGTGGCTTCAGCTAGCTTTTCTGGCATGATACCTTCCAACCGAGAGACCGAGGTTTGATCTAGTTCCTTCTCAGCCAGAACGGACCAGCTGATATTTTCCAAAAAAAGAGTTTGCTGTGTAAATGTTTTGAGCTTGGCTTCCGACAAAAAAAAAAAATCAAAACAAGGACCTCTTCAAACGTGTTGATGTCTTGAGTATTCTGGTGATTCCATTCACTTCCTTGCATGCAGGATGTATGTATTTCATTACAGGGGGGCAGAAAATACACATTTTTATCACAACTTGGACATCCCTCGGCACCGGTTCTGTGACCTACCTTATTTAGGAATGTGGAAAAAAACAAAAATCTCCCCCTTTCCTCCTCCTCCTAAAAGCCACAATTTAAGTCCAACCCCATTTCCAATTTACGTTCCTTGATCCGAGCAGTTTGAGTTGAGTTTTGATGTCTGTTCCTTTCTGTATTTTAACTGTTGTTTTAATTCTTTTGTTCCTCCCCGTATCCTTCTCCTTCTTCTTTTTGTTCCCCTTGTCTTTCTTCTTTTCTTTCTTTTAAATTCCAGCCGGCCTAGCAAAGCCAGTCCCTCTCGTCCGGAGAGTCCAAAGGCACCGTTTGACATGTAACTCTGCTCATCCATCCTTTTATCTGCCTCTTAGCTGTCCTGTCCTGGAATGATCGAACGCACATCTTTAAAAAAAAACACAAAAAAAACCCCCACAGCTTTGTTCTGTCGTAGCTTGTGGCTTGCACATATCAGATACGACTCTAGTGAAACTGTATTTTTTTTTTTTTTTTGGTCCTTTTTTTCGTCTTTCTTCCTGGTTGCTTAAAAGGAACTTTAAACAAAGCCAATGAGTTATATTGTAGTAATGAAACACATCTTTACTGTTATATAAATATCTATAAATATATACATATATATATAAAGATCTAAATCTATATGGTGTCCAGATGTTTTAAAGCCTTTAAATGCCTCCAGTTGGATTTTAGCAAATACTCGAGTAGGAAGAATGTGTGTTTGTGGGTGTGGGTGTGGGTAACACACAGGCACGCACCTAATAAAAATGTAATTCAGTCGCTGCAGCTGGGTTATTGCTCCCAAATTGTGGGTGATTTTTTTTTTGCAGTCCTGATAGTACTTGTAATGCCGTGTGTGACCTATCATCTCTTGTTCACTGGCTGAAATAAATTATTTCTGTATAACAGAGAGACGTCATGCTTTCAATAAAATCCTCCCTCGGTTCTTTTGCATGTCATATTTGATGCGGAAAGCCTTCACTGCAGGAATCCAACACATGTTGCTCACTTATTTTATTCTTGATTAAATTTCTTTGCCATCCCCTTCTTGCAACACTTTTTGGTGGTCTTTCGGTGTTTGTTCCAGGAGACCAACTTGGTTCGTTTTAACAGGGGCTCGTAGGACTTGGGGCATTGTGCAATCGTTACAAAGCAGTTTAACTTGGCAACTGGACCAAACATGTTGCGTGAACACAGCCATTAATGGGAGTAGCTTAACTACAACAAGCCAGATTGCAGAATAAAAGTTGCAATGATCTGAGGTTCAATCTGAATTAACTCGGGGTCACTTCAGTTCACATTCCCGTGGGTTAAACCGAAGTTTCCTTTTTCAGTAGTTCTCATGCCAAAAAAATAACAAGCCAAAATTACACCAGATCCAGTCTTGAGGAAAACAAAACAAAACCCACACCTCACACAGCAGCCAAACACACAACTAAAGCGATTTCACAACCATAACACAACTGAAGGAACAGATTGTTCTTTAAAATCTCAAAGTGGGGCCCACGCTGAGGGAAAGTATGAACACAAACACCACTTTTTTCCACACTTAATTTTTTCTTTTTCTTTTCCTTCAAAAAAAAAAAAAAAGGGGGGGAAGATACAGGTAGTCCTCGAATTACGACAATTGCGCCCAACATTTCTGTTGTTAAGACAGACATTGGTTCAGTGAGTTTTGCTCCACCTTTCTTGCCGCAGTTGTTAAGTGAATTGCCCTGGTTGATAAATTAGTAACCCCGTTGTTAAGTGAATCCGGCTTCCTCGTTGACTTTCGCTTCTTGAAAGGTGGCAAAAGGGGATCGCGTGACTTTGCGACGCTGCAACCGTCATAAATATGAACCAGTTTCCAAAAGTCTGAATTTTGATCCCCGGACCATGGGGATGCTGCAACGGCTATGAAGTGAGAAGACTGATCATAAATCACCTTTTTTTTTCAGCGCCCTTGTAATTTCAAACAGTCACTAAATGATAATGCCCTCCCGGATGCACGCGCCCCCCCCACCGATGCTTCTGACGGACAGAAGAGCAACATACGTCGTCGATGAAGTGAAACAGATTTATTCAGAAAGATCAATTTCTTTAATAACAGGATATAATTTGTCTCGGCAACAGAACGCGTGAGTTCACTTTGTTTCCTTCTTTTGCTTTGCTTTTCCCATTTCCCCCTGGAAACCCCACACCTAATAAATATGGAATAATATTCTAAAGTAAATCACATTCCTGTCCTGCTTTGCCCCTCCCACATCAACTAAAGTTAATTTCTTATTTTATTTTTCCAAATATCATACAAGATTACTAGGGTAGCCTCCCGGCAGCCAGAAAAATGCTGCCCGTGGCTTTATTCTCTCTCTTTTTATTATTATTATTATTCAAGGTATGTACAAAATATTACACACATACAATATGTACACTTGTGCCAACAGCGGCTCGCAAGCCCACTTTCGCCAGCCTCCTGACCTAACATGTACCGAGGGAAGAATTGTAACACTGATGGTGGGAAATTGTCCAGGTTTTAGGGGTGTTGTCGTTTTTTGGTGGTCCAGTTCCTTCTGCCTTACAACCTGGAAAGAGGGTGGGTAGTCTACGTGCGGTTTTGCTAGAAAAAATTGGAGCGGAAATTTCTTATGGTTTTCAAACTCCCCTCTGTGCTTTAGTTAGGCTCTTTCCTAGCAAGCTGTCCCAGGAGGAAAACGCAACTTCACCGGTGTCTCTTTCCTGGAAGCAGAAACCCGCGCTAAAATCTAGACCTCTGGGTCGCCTCCTAATCCTTTCTTTCTTTTTGGTTACACGTGCCGTTGTCCTTCTAAAACGGGATCTTGCGCCACGCACACCAAGTCACCACCAACTTCAACCAAACCGCTTCACTGCTTCACTCTCTCACAATAAAGTGAATTCTTCGTCTAGCTCCACATGGAGAAGAGAGAAACCGACAACCATCAAAATATATTTAAAAGTATCTAGACAGTTGAAATAAGCTTGGCTCGACCCAGGAGGAAAAAGATTCCGTGCAAGAGAGAGAGATGGAATCAATTCCCCCCAAGTCTATTCCTTTTTCCAAGCTCGCCTTCCGCATCTTTAAAGAATAAATAAAACCCTCCACCTCTTAATGCAAACGTACGTCCAGTTTTAAAAAAACACACAAAAAATGCAGCTTTTATTCCCCTCCCCGCAAAAAACCGTCCGGCTCCAAGCAGACCTGGAGACCCTCCAAACTTGGTAACTGAACAAGGGGATTTGGGATAAGGGGGAAGAGACGGTGTTTCGCTAGAAAGGCAGCCGGCTAACTCTTGGGAGGGGCAAGGACAGAGGGCGGATAAGGTTCGAAGTGGATCGTGCGAGTTAAAAGGGAGAGTTAGAAGGGCGTAAAATCGGATCTAAAGAAAGCCGAAATAACCGAAGGTGGGAAGAGGCTACGCAACCGTTGGTAGAGAGAATTAAACTTCGCAGGCCGTGAATGGGAGGAACCAATGGGCGGTTGGGTGGCGTAAAACTCTGAGCTTTACTGGAGGATGGCGTGAATCGCAGCCAGCACAAAAAGCGTGGCCCACCCAGGCCCGCCCAAGACGTGCCCTCGAGGCAGTCCGGCCACCCCACCCGACTCCCCTGGAGCCCTTGACGTCCCCTTCCCGCTTAAACCACCAGGAGTTTCACTTCGTCGTTTTCGTCCACCCGATAGAAAAAGGGGATGCACGGGGTTTCCGAGAGGGGTCCCGCCCGATTCTGCGGGTTTTGGATCTCGCGGAGGAGCCGCAGGATCTGCTGGGCCGTGGGGTCCCGAGGAGCGGGCTGGGGGCCCTGGGGGTCGCCATGGGATGGGTGGGATTGTGAAGGGACGGCGTCCAGTTCGGCCTCGTCCGCCAGGTTCACTTCTCGCAGGTCTGGAAGGCAGAAAAGGGGGGGGGGGGGGGGAGGGAGGAGAGAAATGGGGCTTCAGCGGTGGAGTTGACCAGGTAGCCCTTGACTTACGACCCCAGAATTTCAGGTTGGCAAAGGAGACCTCGGTTAAGGGGGTTTTGCCCCGCTTTACGGCCTTTCTCGCCACAGTGGTTGAGCGAATCGCTGTGGTTCACGGTTGCAAAGAGGATGCGGCTTCCCCGTGGATTCTGATTGTTAGAAGGCCACAAAAGGGGATCACGTGACAGCCCCCCCTGGGATGTTACAACTGTCATAAATGGGAACCAAGCGCCTGAATTTTGATCATGTGACCGCAGGGACACTGCAATGGTTGTTAAGTGTGAAAAACAGTCCTAATTCGTTTTTTTTTCAGCGCCTTTTGAACAGTCAGTAAAGAAAGTGTCTACGTCAAGGATTACCTGCGCACCTTAAAAGTTGCATTTCTCAACCTGAGCCGCTTTTAAGACGTGTGGACTTCAACTCCCAGAATTCCCCTGCCAGGTAATGATAGAGCAGGAGGAGGAAGGGGTAGGGGACAGGAGCCCAGGTATGGGGGCTACAGCAGGGTCTTTATCAGGGATGGCCCCTTCAAAGGAATCCTTCCCCCTCCCCAGTTTTCCTGCCTCTCACCTGCCACCTTGGGAGCGTTGGGTTCGAAGACGCCATCTGCCTGAGCGCCGGCCTCCCTCTCGGGCCCGGGCTGGAGCTCCCCAGCCTGTGTGGCTATCATGTACTTGGTGTACCAATCGTTCCGTTCGCCCACCAAGCGCATCACCAGTTCGTGCAGCTCCTGTAACTTCATCTGCAACCAAAAGAAACAAGGAACCTAAAGGGGGGAAATGGAAAAGAGCACGGGGGGCCTCCCAGTGCACCAAAGGCTTCCTTCGCCCTGTGAGGAAGTCCCCTTCCCCCACTTCCTGTGGCTGAGCTAGGAATGCTAAGGGGCTAGTCCTCATGAGTCTTCGGCTTCACCTTCTATCGTGCTTCTCTTGGCATATCTGCTAAGTTGCTCGAAAAGCTACTTGGGGAAGGAACAGGGGGCCTTCGTTCTTAGACTAGGAGCAGAAAGACAGCAGCAATACGCACCCACTCACGTACACAACAGTGATACACAGGGACACACACACACACACACACACACACACACAACTCAAAAGGAACTAATTTCTACCCTAGCAGGCCAGCTCTTCAAAGCAGAGACTCACAGCCCTCCAGGGGTTACTGTTCATAGCCCCGAACTGAGACACCATGCTTTAAATAAGGACCGACGGTCGCAAAAGGAGAGATGGATGCAGTCTAGGTATCGCCCGGGTTGCGCTCGACTTGACAGGGTCCAATCCTGCTTGGAACGGCCCAGATTTCGCGGATTTTGGCCTGACCTTCATGTCCTCCTTGTCTTGAGCCAGGCGGTTGATGTAGTCTTCTTTTTCCCGGTGGCGCTGTTTGAGAATTGCTCGTTGACTCTGGTACAGGGCAATGTATTCACCTGCAGGGTTAGGAGAGACAACCAGGGTGGGAATAAATATACCGAAGCCCAGAGCTGCGGGGTTCCCTTCATCGATTCCAACTCTTTTAACAGAATAACAGAGTTGGAGGTCTTCTAGTCCAACCCCCTTGCTCGGGCAGACTATTTCAGATAAATGCTTGTCCAATCTCGTCTTAAAAACTTCCAGTGTTAAGAGGACAACTTCTGGAAGCAAATTGTTCCACTGATTAATTGTTCTGCCAGGAAATTTTTCCTTAGTTCTAGGTAGCTTCTCTCCTTGATTAATTTCCACCCGTTGCTTCTTGTCCTGCCTTCAGGTGCTTTGGAGTATAGCTTGACTCCCTCTTCTTTGGGGCAGCCCCCTGAGATAGTGGAAGGCTGCTATCATGTCACCCCCAGCCCTTCTTTTCATTAAACTAGACATACCCAGTTCCTTCAACTGTAAATTCTTCGTATGTTTTACCCTCCAGCCCCCTAGTCATCTTGGGTTGCTCTTCTCTGCACTCTTTCTAGAGTCTCAACATCTTTTTTACATCATGGCGACCAAAATGCGGTATCGAATGCAGTGTGGCCTTATGAAGGCCTTATAAATTGGCATCAACCCTTCACGTGATCTTGATTGCATCTTGCTGTTTATGCAGCCTGGAACTGCATTGGCTTTTTTGGCGGCTGCTGCTCCACATGGCTGGCTCATATTTAAATGATTGCCCACTAAGATTCTTGAGGTCCCTCTAGCAGTTACTGCTATTGAGGCCAGTACCACCTATACTACACCGGCGCATTTGGTTTTCCTTGCCGAAACGTAGAACCTTCCTTTTTGTTTCACCACCGAGTTTCGTTGTGTTAGATAGGGCCCCAAGTTCAAACAAAAATGATATAATGCTAGTTTTAGTTAACGGCTAACACGATCGAACAGATGCGTCAGGGTTACCTATGGTGTCTGTTTCTCCGGACAGCTGGATACAGTGGTGCTCCAGTTCTTCCACGCGCTCTTTCAGCTCTGCCTTCTCGCGCATCAGGTCCGTGAATCGGAGCTGCAAGGTGGAGCAGAGAAAGGAGATTGCGTGGGTGAAGGGTGCTAATTGAGGAAGCCGTTCTTTGAACCTTCTCTAGGGACTTCCTTCCAGGAACAGATCAATTACGGGAGGGGAAGGGCTTCCGTCGCTTTCACTGAAAAGCAGGCCAGAGGTTTTTGAAACAGACCTTCAAGCAGAGACCCAGCGGTTCTGGAAAGGTAACAGGGTACAATGACTGAGTTGTGATTATTTAAAATGGCAGCTTTCTAGCACGTGGAATTTATCCTGGGCGAAGATAATTCAGTTGTCATAACAGAAGAGAATATTTGTAGCTCAGGGGTTGAACTGAGGGGTTCTCTGAGCTTGAGGGTCTGTCTCGTGACCCTTGCTGTCAGGGTTCCTGCGATTGCCCTAATTAAATCACGAGCCTCAAGCCAAGCTTCAAAAAAAAAGAACTCAAAGGATTTATTAGGAGCAACATGTCGGCATTAACCTAAATGAAGCCAACTCTGGCATACGTAATTCAGAGTCACCTGTGAACCTGTCTCCTCCCTAGGTGTATCATAAATCAGATTCTCCAATGAAGCACATTCACCTGCTGGGTGTCATCAATCATGTTCCCCAATTAAGGATTTTTGCAGGAAGAAGATCCGGTAGCCTAGGCTACAATCTTTGTAAGATAAGGGTGGAATGTACTTCTGGTTTTAAACTGCCCTATTGCTTCTTCAGATTTCTCTCCCACCCCCCTTGTTTATGGCAACTTGAAAACGGGCATAGGAATGTTTTACGAGTTAGACAGTAAGTAGGGAACATCATCAGTACTAGGAGGGAATGGGGTATGTGGGAGGAAGAGGAGGACAATGATGACTGTGTGGTCCTTCACGCTCACGGAGCTTGATTGTTTTCTTGAAAACATTTCATTCGCCAACTGGGTAACAGCATCAATGTTAGAAAGACGTAGCATTTGTTCTCTCTTCCCTTCTAGCTTTGATAGCGTTACCTAGTCGGGTCATGAAATGTCTGCAAGAAAACCCATCCAGCTCAGAGAGCATCACAGACCCCAGAGTTACCCTAACATCAACATCAGGAGTCCCCCCCCCCCCAAAGGCTCACCTGCAGCTTCTCCATGGCGCTTTTTAAGGCTTCGTGAACCTCTCCTGGAACCCAATCAGCATCGGAGCCTGAAATGGTGAGACGCAGAGTTGAGAGCGCCACAGGAGCACAGGGGCTTCACGAACCACAGCCCGAGGAGGCAGGTGGGTGGGGAAGGGGGGAGGGGGGGTCTCCTGTCAGTGTTCCGGTGACTCCCCCAATTCCCCTCCTCACGAGCCTCGGCCCAAGCTTAGGAGCAACATGCCGACATTAATTACGTGTGCCAGGATTGCACCGTGACTGGGGTGGATGGGGGAATGGTCTCATAAGCTTTGGCCCCCGTTTCTTGCTATGGAATTTTAGCCTCGGATATTTTGCGGAGAGGTAGACCTTCTCCCCCAGCTGGAGTGGCCGTTGTGGGCCTCCCGAGTGCGGGTCTCTTACCTCCTGTGGATGTGAGCTGCAGCTGATGCTCCTTCTTGAGGCTAGCGATCTGCTGCAATAGCTCCCTGCACTGCTTTTTCTTTTCCATCAGCTGGTGTCTGATCTCTTCGCGCTCGCCCTCCGCTTGGGACACGGCGGAGGTCAAGAAAGCCACCTAGGAAAGGAAGGCCAGGCGATTTGAGTGGGGCGGCACGGCTAAATCTCACACTTCAAACTCTGCGGCCCTGAGGGGGCAGGGATTTAGGACCAGGCTACCTCCCAGCCCAGGCTGTCCTCGCCTCGACTTACAACCATTGGTTTAACGGACCGTAATTATGACAGCTTTGGAAAAAGCAACTTATGACTCGTTGTCTGTTGCACCGCTCTTGAGATGGCCATTCAGGCAACGGAGTGAGCGCGAGCGGCAAGGGAGGAGGACGGAGGGGCTCACCATTTCCTCTTTACTCTCAAAATCCTCCGGAATGCTGAGCTGAGAAGTCCTCGAGTCCACGAACTCGGCTGCTTCCACGCCATCCCCTGCAAAGCCGCAAGACAGAGGATGGCAGGGATGAGGACCTTAGCTGGGATCTGACGGTCCGGCCTTGGTTCCCAACCATCCCAACCTCACTCACCTTGGGCCCTGGGCAGCATCCTTTCGTCCAGTTCGGCCATGAGTTGGGTGACCTGGGCTTGGAGCTCCTTGTTCTCCTTAGAAAAGGATTCCAGGGTTTTCTGTTGGGGACAAGGAAGGACTTTTTCAACAACGGTTCCGACTTCGCATCGGGAGGTCAAAAATGACTCCCGCAACATTTGTGAAGGAAAACTAGGAATCTCTCATTTCTCCTGTTTTCATCAAAGCCGGTGTCAAAAGGCGTGGGCAGCTACAGGCCTCTTTGTTCCAACCTGTCATTGGAGTAAGAGGGATGTTGACTACGAGTGGATTAATTTGAAGAAATGAAACTTCTGCAGTTCCACCAGAGCTTGGCAGACTCAGGAAACTTTCCAAGGTCAGATTGACAGGTGTGCAGAAGGCAGCGGATGGTTCTCATAACAAAAGAGAACTTTTTAATACCGTCTACGGAGTTGGCTTGGGAAATTCATTGTATAATAGTGTGAACTAGTGCCTCAAAATTCACAGTTAGTTTTACCTCACCATTCCTATGCTATGTTTTCAATAGACAGTAAGCTTTTCAGAACTGAAATGATCCTGGATTTTTATTTGGATGCTCAAGCTGGATGTTGATAGCTTTTTTTCAACCTAGCAGCCCTTTCTCAGGTTGACTTCCTACACAAGATGATGGCTGGCAAAGGCCCAATAATATCCCTGCACTGAAGAAAAGATGGAGAGCGCCATCTGAAGGCATGTCAACCCTTTGCAACCATCAACTTCCACTTGTTAAAAGAGAATCTGGATAGTGCAGATGCTGTCAAGCTTAGATCTAACCATGGGGGTCCTTGGTGCTTTCTGAGCTTGGCTGCTTTCGTGCAGACGTTTCATGACCCAACTAGGGAACCTCATCAGAACTAGAAGGGAGTGGGGTTTGTGGGGAGGAAGAGGAGGAGAAAGGAAAAAGGAGGAGTATGGGGGTCCTTGGTGCTTTCTGAGCTTGGCTGCTTTCTTTGCAGACGTTTCATGACCCAACTAGGGTAACTTCATCAGTGCTAGCCAGATCTCTCTGTTGGCTTTCCCGAAAGAGAATCCAGAGGTCAAACCTGCAGGGCTCACCTTAGCTTTCTGAAGCTCTTTGAAGTGCATCTCAGCATTCACCTTGCCTTGAACTTCCTCGTGCTGCAGTCGGTCCATGAGCTGGGTCTGCAGGAGGTACTTCTTGTGTAGCTCCTCCTTCTCAACGGTGAGTAGCTGATAGGCTGCGATGTACTGCTGGAGGTGGGCCAAATACTGATCCCTCTGGTCCTGGAAGTCCTGAGCTTCGTGGGTCTTCTGATCCATCTTGGACGGAACAAGACCCAGTGAATGAAGATCTACTCCAACAACACGCCTTCCCACCATCTCCCATAACTATGGATAGAAGGCAAAGCTCTCCTGACAGCATCACTAAGATCAATCTTAAACCGGATTAAGGAAGGGTGACATGTTGCCTCCCCAAGCTTCTCCCCCCCCATCCCCAAAACCAGTTCTCCCCAGGTTGAGGGCGTCTCAGCCATGATTTCGTGTTTAAGATGATCGATTTTGCTTCCCTCAAAATCTAGACCAGAGTGGCTCAACCTTGGCGACTTTAAGAGAGGTGGACTTCAATTCCCAGGGCTTCCCAGCCGCCATGGCACTCTGGGAGTTGAAGCCCACCTATCTGAAAGGGGCCAACACCGCGGCCCGTTGCAACAGTTGAATTGGATGACTTGGGTAGGTCTAGTTTGATTCAAAGGACCAGGGGTGACATGATAGTAGTCTTCCAATATTTGAGGGACTGCCCCAAAGAAGAGGCAGTCCAGCTATTCTCCAAAGCACCTGAGGGCAGGACAAGAAGCAATGGATGGAAACTCATCAAGGAGAGAAGCAACTTAGAACTAAGGAGAAATTTTCTGACAGTGAGAGCAATTAATTAATGGAACAACTTGCCTCCAGAAGTTGTAAATGCTCCAACACTGGAAGTTTGTAAGAAGAGGTTGGATAACCATTTGTCTAAAATGTTATAGGGTTGGACTAGAAGACCTCCAAGGTCCCTTCCAACTATGTAATCGTTATTTCTTTATTTCTTTAAAGACGGAGGGTTGCAGTGACAATCGACCAAGGGTGCTTTTGAAACCAATGGCTTGAGAGCAAGGAGCTAGAGTCCCACTTAGTCAAGAAATTCCAAATTCCCGTGTCAGGAAGCTGCGCTAAGCAGCCTAACCCCCCGCCTCCCCCCCCAAAATCAAGAGCCACCTGTGGAAAATAATTTTGCTCCCAGGATAAAAGCGGAAGAGCCAGACTGGACTCTGAAGTCCAGAGAGCCTTGCCTTCTCCTTAAAGTCCACCAGCTTCTCCTGGAGTTCACCCAATTTCTTGGCCAGCTGCTTCTTCACGTGCTGTTCAGACTGCAAGGCGTTCGTGATCTCCATGTTCTCGTTGGTCTGAAAGGAGAAGGAAGGATGGTTCGAGGGAAATACTTACGACCACAACTGAGCCAAAAAATGTTATGTTGCCGAGTGAAAAAATGTGTTTGAGGGAGCTTCGCCCCGTTTTACGACTTGTCTTGTCCCATTTGTTAAGCGAATCGCTGCAACTGTTAAATTAGTAACGTGGTTGTTAAGTGAACCTGGCTTCCCCCATGGACTTGGCTTGTCTGAAGGTCACAAAAAGGGATCACTGTGACGCCAGGACCCTGAAACCGTCATAAACACAAGTCAGTTGCCAAGCATCACGTGACTGTGGGGATGCTATAACGGTCGTAAGCGTGAAAAACAGTCATAAGTCACTTTTTTCAATGCCGTTGCAATTTCGAACGGTCATTAAGCAAACTGTTGTTAAGTCGAGGACTACCTGTACCCAAATCAAACCAATGAGAGATGTTTAAGAGCCTCGGTGGCACAGGGGTTAGAGTGCAGCACTGCAGCTACTTCTGCTGCCTCCCAGCTGCAATTTGGCAGATTGAATCCCATGAGGCTCAAGGTTGACTCAGCCTTCCATCCTTCCGAGGTGGGTAAAATGAGGAGCCAGATTGTTGGGGGCAAGAGGCTGGCTCTGTAAATCACTTGGAGAGGGAACTGTGAAGTGGTATATAAGTCTAAATGCTACTGCAATTGATCTATCTCTATGTCAGTCTTTCTGTCTGTCTATATCTACCATCTGTCTGTCCGCCCATCCATCCATCCATCCATCCAATATTTATCTAAGAGCCGTGGTGCTACAATAGTTAGTATGCAGTATTGCAGGCTCTGCCCCTAGCCAGCAGTTTCATCCTAACCAACTCGAGGCTGACTCAGCCTTCCATCCTTTCCAAGGTAGGTAAAATGAGAACCCAGATTGTTGGGGGCAAGAGGCTGACTCTGTTAAAGCGCTTCCAGAGGGCGGTAAAAGCCCTGTGAAGTGGTATATGAGTCTAAGTGCTATTGCTGTTGCTATTTTAGTGGCTACCTTGAGGGATTTTGGGGAGGGTGGGGGGAGTGAAGAAAGTTGAAGAGGCAAACACAACACACCTAAGCAAGAATCTTTTAGACTTCCTCTCTATAAATAGGCGGGCAGAGTTATAAAACACAGTCCCTGGGATTAAAATTCAGGGTTTAAATTTGGAAGGCTCAAAACTACCCCCCGCCTCTGCGGAGGTCTGGAGTTTTGGGCATAAGGCTCCAATGACGGTCATAACCCGAGGACTATGCCTTGGCCTTTGGGAGATGAGGAGGGAGAAACGCACCAGTTTGACGAATCCGTTCTGCAGCTCCGCCAGCTGCTCCTTCAGCTCCCGGTTCTGCGTCAAGGCCCGGCTGATGGTAGCTTTGTCGCTCTGCATGTTCTCCAGGATCTGCTGCTTGTCCACGTCCTCCTCGCTGTAGCGCTGTAAGGTCTTCTCCAGCTCTTGGAGCCGCTCCTCCTGCTCCTGGTTGAGCTGGCTAAGCTGCCCGTTGTCTCGCACCTGGGTCTGCCATCGGTCGAGCAGCTCCTCCTTCTCCTTCTCCAGTTGAGCCAACTCCTCTCGAAGGTGGGCTTCCGTTGGCGAGGGCCCCGGGGTGGCGGCAGGAGCAGGCGGAGTTTCCTGGGCTTTCACCGCTAGGGAATCCAGTGGGGGAAGAAAGGTGGCTTATTTACGGCGAACGTCCTAGGATCAAGCCAACTCTAATGGCAAGCCTAGTTGGAAACACGATGGTTCTCCAGAGCTTCCCACCCTCCTGTCCCTGACCACCATCTTGGAGCAAGCACCCAACGTGCTGCAGCGGAGGGATCTTTCCACCGAGCTATGGACGTATGAAGGGAAGACTGCTGGATTTAGAAGATTTATTTTAGCGTATGGCAATGATACGTTAGTCAGGAGACGACAATGCTAGCGCAGAGTAGTAGTTCGGCTGCCTAAGACTGCTATCTGTTTGGTTCACGCTGGCGCCTTTCCCAAGGTGCGCCAGAGCGGGGCAAGCTAGTTCCGCGCCAGAAACAAAAACGGAACGGCTTTCCTGCAGCGTCCTCTGAGGCCCCTCTCCTTCTGCCAAAGCCGCCATGCAAACGGGCCTTGCAACGGAGAAGGTCCAGAGCCGGCAGGATTCTAACCATCCGCATGAAGCGCCGGCTTCTCTCCCCGCTGAAGGGGTACCTATTTATCTACTCGCACAGAACATGCTTTCGAACGGCTAGCTGGGCAGGAGCGGAGGTGAGTGACGGGAACTCACACGGTGCCGGGACTTGAACTGCTGGAGCAAAGACCATCTCCAGTGTCATTAAGTCACCGAGCCACCACGCCCCAATTTTAGAAAATGGTGAATCAGGTGACCGAAAGGAGGCAGTTGCGAACGCTGGCATTTACCTGACTGACTGCTGAGCAGCTCTGAGAGGTTCGTCTCCAGCTCCCCGATCCGAGTCTCACTGACTTCTTTCTCTCCCATCAGAGTCCGGACCTGCGGGAAGCCCAGTTGTACCAGCTTGAAGGGCAACCTCCAAAACATTAGAGATCCCCAAAGAACCTCACAGGTATAATAGTCCTTACCTGCTCGGAGAGGAGCTCAACCCGCTGCTGCCAGATGTTCCCTTCCTCCTTCAGACGCAGGACGTATTGATCTCGTTCAGCCTGCAGTTTCTGCAAGGATTCTGACAGCTGCTCAGCAAGGAAGAAGGAAAGAGAAGAAGAGTCGGGCAGTGCGAGTCAGACTCTGGATGACAACTGCCATCAAGGCCAAATCCCCAGCCTTCTTTTGAAGGCATCCCCTCTGGACATCCACCTTACCTGGGCTATTTGGCTTTCTAAGTTGGCTCTTTCCTCCAGTGCGGCCTGCAACTGCTGAGCAGTAGCATCCGAGATCCCTGGCTGGCTTGAAAACTGGCAGAGGGGTTTAAAAAAAAAAAAAACCACACGATTATCCAAGCCCTTTTTGATCCACCTTCTTCTCCTCCCCTTGTCCAGGAGAGATTTGTCAAGGTGAGCTCCAGGTGGTGCATTAATTACAGTAGTGAATTAGGGAGACTCAGGTGGCTTAGCATAGCCTATTTCATAGGGGGGGGGGGTTGGGGGGGGGGGCTGGGAAAAGACTACAAGGAGTCAACGCCCCAGGAAAAAAAAATCAGGATCCAAAAAGATCTTGACAGACTTGAACAATGGGCTCTATCCAACAACACAAAATTTAATGTGGCAAAGCAAGGTTTTTACACCCAGGCAGGAAAAAAACAAAGGTACAAATACAAATTAGCTCTTAACTTACGAGCACAGTTGGGGTCAGAACTTCACTGCTAAGTAAGGCAGTTGTTAAATGAGTCGCACCTTGTTTTATTTTATTTTTTATTTTTTGCCACCGTTATTAAACAAATTGTTGCATTTGTGAATTGCATCAAATGGTCATTGTGATGCCCCTGTTGGAGACTGACTCTGAGGGAGAGGAGGAGCAGCTGACAGGGAGTGGAAGGGTGGCTCCGGAGGTTGTGCAGGAGCCTGGGGAAGGGCAGAGGCCGGCTGGGCAGTCAGAGGAGGACCCAGGCCCATCCCTTCTCCATCCTAGGGCACGCAGGGAGGAGAGGATAAGGGAGAGACATCGTCTACTCAGGAGGAGAGGGCCTTGATCCTCTTCATGGGCTGCAACTGTGAAAACTGGATAAGAGGACGGACATGCGTACGGGCGAACACTGGAAACAAAGCGTGTAAATATCTCTAGTTTATAGTTCCTCTCTGACTTTGCCGTCCTTCCCAGTGTGTGTTACCTGTGGACATCCTCCAGCCCTTATCTTGCCTGGTTTGTGTTGCTTTTTCCCTTCGTCTTGTAACTGTGTGGGTGTTTTTTTGTCTTCCGTCAAGAATATTTGGAGCTTGGAAGCAAAGTGAAGGAATAAAAGGGGCTTCACCTGTTTTCTGTGACTGTGTTTGTTTTGTATCCCACCCTGGGTCACCACAGTCACAAAGCAAATACAGCTTCCCCCTTGTCAAGTTCACAAGTTTTGGATTCCGTGATCGTGCGAATGATGCAATGGTTTTCACAGTGCGAGAACCGGTTGTGAGTCATTTTTCCCCCCCCAGGGGTCATCGTAACTTTGAACGGTCTCTATAAACAAAATGGCTGAAAGAGTACTTGCAGTCACAATAACGCCGATACCTGCTGAATCACCAGTTCTGCCATTTCCAGTTTCTTGTGCAAATCTTCCACATCCAGTTTCATGGCTGAATTTTCAGAGATCAGGTTGCGCAGTTTCTCGGACAATTCCGAAGTCTGCTGTTTGAGTTCTTCGTTGGTTTTACTAGGGAGAGACAGCAGCCCAAGAGAGCCAAATGAAACCTTCCTTCATTTCTATCAATACCGCAATCACACTAAAGCAAAAAAATGACAAATCTCACCTCTAAACGCTAAAGGAAAGAAAGACGAATCTTACCCCTGCTTATACATTTCCAGTTTGAGGTTATCTCGTTCCTTTGCTAGCTCTTTGTTGTGCTGTGGGCAAAGAAGGAAAAGCCATCAAAACAGGCAATTTTTTTAAAAAAAGAGAGAGAAAGAGAAAAATATTTCACTGGAACAAATGTCTCTAAATAAATTTTTTTGCAAAAGTTTGCGGTATTCTCACTCCTGTGATGGGCACTTAACGGCCAAAATTATGGATTCTATATAAATTCTCCGGCATCTGTTGTTGTTAGATAAAATAATTCAGATTGGCTGGCTGGTCCAATTCCCTTTACTGCTTTGGAAAAAATAAAAAGTATGGTTTTGGTGGTGGTGTGGTGGATTTAAACAAGACCCCATAAACTGCTAAGCAGAATTCGACAGCAAGTCAGCCCGTTGACTTCTGCCAAAGCAAAATTGAGCTAGGAAAAGCTGAATATTCACCAGTATTCATCCCCCATGGAAATATTTTGCCTTGTATAGCCAGAGCAACTAAGATGCTAACATCTCTGTCTGCGTTAAATGCCCCTTTCCTTGTCCTTAAAGAGTCAAACAAGGGTCTTAGCTGGAGAAGGAAGTTTATTTTGACTAAGATCTCTTGATTGGGGTATTGTTTACTACTTGATTGCTAGTGTGAAATTAACCTTGGAGTTAATCTATCCTGATCTGGGTGCTGATTGACAAAGACAAGGCAAAGTGTGTGTGATCCACGGAGCTTTAATCCTTTATGTTCAGACACAGCTCTCAAACACGACAAACCCTCTGCAGTTAACGAAATGTTTCCTTTATTAGGAGTGCCAGCAGCCCCGGTAAAAAGTCTCTCTCTTACTCACAAGCAGGCTAACGAGTCTGTCCAGCAGGGAGATGAATACTTGTCTGCCACATCTATTCATCTCTGCCCCCTGCCTTTTAACCCCTAGCTAGGGTGGGGCCTCGCTAGTTGCGGTTGCTCTTCCTTCCCGAGGGCCGGCCCATAGATTTCCACTGCTCTCCTCTCCTCTGCCTTCTGCGCATCCGTGACTCAGGCACTGGACCCAGCTGTTCCTCCTCTTCCTCATCAGCCACCTCCAGACCTGGGGGCTGTTAACTCGCCATCCGAGGACTGATTGACAGCCCAGGCTCTGCCTCTATCTCTATCTCTGACAGCTCTATTCTCTCTTCCCCCTTGGAGCTCTCAGGTTGCCCTAATGCGGATCATGACTCCCACGTCTCCTCCTCCTCCTCCGATTCGGCTGCCAGAGGGGCCAACAGACCACAATAGCTTATTTCTACTTGCTTTGCAAGCATCTGGGGCAGGGAAATAGGCCTTACTTCAAAAAGGAAGCCGCGGTGTCAAAGAAGACAAGGAGAGAAGAGGGGAATGCCCTACGCTTACTTTCTCTGTCTGCTTCTGCTGAATGGAGAGGGAGGAGAGGGTGTATTCTACTTCTGAGACCCTCTGGCGGGATGATTGCAGCCGGGCGGCCAGGTCCTCAGCTTCCCCTGTCCCAGAAAAAAAAAACAAAAAACAAGATTAGGGCTGCTGGCATCCAAGCGCCACGTGAACCCCATAATGCCAACCGGATGCTTGGTAGCTACCACCGGGCTGCTAAGAAAAGCAGAAGTGGGTCCAATTTGATGCCAAGTAACCCCACGATCAAAAAGGAAAAGAAATGCAGCTGGGATACATTTAAATTCAAGCCTGTCGGACTGGATTTCTTTGAAGATGGGACAAAGGGATCCCAGGCGGTGGGAAAAAAAAAGAACGCCAGGTCTCTAATGCCACCAGGTGATTAAATAAGGAAGGCGGCCAGGAGGAGCACTCACCTGTTTTGTGTCGGGCGGCCTGCTGTGTGTGGCTGAGGGCTGTCTGCAATTCGGACTTCTCAGAGACCAGGATGCCAATGGTCTGGATGTGGACCTTTATAAAGGAAGCCCGGGAGAGCGGGATGAGCTGAGGAACGTTTGAGAGAGCCAGCAGGTGACGGAACACAGCTCCCCACAAAACCAGGTGCTTCCTCCTGGGGGTTGGAGAAGGCCGCCAGGACTGGGAGGGGAGGGTGATATGGCACCTACCTGTAATTGTTCTCGTAGGGTGGCTTGCTCCTTCGCAAACCTCTGCTCAAAGCCCTTCTTCTCCTGTGGAAACACGATTTATTTATGCTTCAGCCAGACCGGCAGTCAATGTAGCGTGCTGTCGTCCAGTCTTTAGCGCCATGTTTCTCAACCGTGGCAGTTTGGAGATGGACGGGTTTCGTTTCAAACCGTGGCGGTTTGAAGACAGAGGGAGTTGGAAGTCCTCCCATTTTCAAACGGCCACGGTTGAGAAACGCTGCTTTGTTATATCCAGATATTGCTAGAACTGCTTTGGCCCAGACATAGCATTTCAAAGCTTTCTACAGTCTTTCCACAAACAACTTTTCAGAAATGCTGGTGAAGCGGCTGAGAAACTATCCTTGGAAAGTGGCCTCTGTTCCATTGTACTTTTTACCACTAAGCTGGCATTCAGTTTTATTGGGAGGACTCAAGTTATTGCTATGCTAACCCATATCATCATCTTCTTTTAACAATCCCATAATCCCTTACCAAGTAGAGTTTGGGCAACTAAATGGAGCTGAGTGTTTACTGGCCGGATGCTCTTCCCGTCACCAATGAGGAGTCATATTCAGCAGTTATGTTCTCATTGTCCTCAGAGAGAGAAATATCTGTCTCTACCTAGGATCGAACTCACAGCCTCCTGATTGTGAGGTGAGAGCTGCACCTCTAGGCCACCGCGCCACTTCCATGCTAATCCGTATCTGGCCTGGAAATGCATGCTAACATTGTGCTAATTAAAAAATTTAAAAAAACCAAACAAACCTAAATGAAAAGTCACAAGGTTTTCAAAAGAGAAAGAGAAAACCCCTCAGCTGATCAGACTAACCGGTCAATGTTCAAAAGAAATGCAGAATTATCTGCATCTGCAAGGACAGGAAGAAGCTGATACAGCCGCAAACAGCAGCTTTTACATTAAGAAAACGAATGCAAACAACAGGATGGCTATGAGTTGATGGTAAAGCCACACAACTGTGAGGAATTGAAGAACCAAAAAAAAAAAAGGGTGTTTTGTTCTGCACGCCTCAAAGACCTGTCCAGATGGAGAACTGGGGGGAACCAATCCGTATAAATTAGGTTGTAATTTTTAGACCTCTACCCTGGAGGGTAAATGCAATTTCACTGTCCCACAGGGTTAGAGGGTCTTCAAATTAACTAGAGGTAAGGCAGCTGAAACCCTCCCAATAATGTTTAGAAGGCAGGTGGCGGGGGGAAGCAAAATAAAACATTTTTTTTTTTTTGGTATCTCTGGAATGTATCTTTCTCCATTACCTTCTCCAACTCATTCACAGCTTCTTGGTTCTGCTGTTTCTGCACAAGGAAAAAAACGGAGACAGCGAGGATCACTTCTGGAGCTAGGCAATGCTGTGTTAAGGCTTTTGTGGGGAGCAACGCAGCTCGGGCGTCGAAATCAGGACCAGCAGAAGCGCTGCAACCTGGGTCTCCCCAACCCCTGCCGTGTTGTAACGGAAGTGCTTTTTGGGGGGGTACAGGGGTCCTCCACTTACAACCATTCGTTTAGTGACCAGCACAAGGGCCCTGAAAAGACGTGACTTTGGGACTTCCACATACAGGCAGCGTACGACACATGACCCAGCAGAGCGGGAGGGGGTGGAATGAGAAGTCAAAGGGGGGAAAAGAAAGGAGGGGGGGGGGGAGAATAAAAAAACAGGGCATGCAAACAAGCTGGAGAGAGCGACAGGACAAGGACGAAGGTTTCAAACACAGCGAGGCCCCTTTTGCTACCCGAAAACAGCCCTTAGTTGCACGGAAGGAGGCAAGCAGGAAGAGAAGCTGCAACAAGCCATGAGACAAGATGAGCCACGTGGGCTTCTTCACGGTGCCACAAGAGAAGGACAGGCAGCCGGGCTCATCTTACATTTGGGCCTAGAAAGATCCGCTCTTGCTGAAAAGAGTCGACACGGTGAATAAATGAGGGAAAGCCGGGACTGTTATCTTGGGGCGAGCATGGGCTTCAGGATCTGAACCTGTTTCCACTCTCCCCGATTTGATGGGGTGAATTGAGTTTATGCCTATGGGTTCTAGGGTGGCGTGGTGGCTCAGCGGTTAAGATGCTGGGTTTTTTCGGCTGGAAAACTAGCAGTCCGGGTTTGAGACCCGAGTGCCATGCGACGGGGTGAGTTCCCGTCCTCGGCTCAGCTCCTCCCAAACTAGCAGTTCAAAAGCAGGCAAAGGCAAGTAGATAAATAGGTACCACTTTGGTGGGGAGGTAACAGCACTGGTGGCCACATGACCGCAGAAATGTCTTTGGACAGCACTGGCTCGATGGCCTTGAAATGGAGATGAGCACCAGCCCCTCCAGTCGGCGATGACTAGAGGATTAAAATCTGCGAGGATTCCTTTGATCTTTTTTACCGACAACTCCTCCCTCTCCCCAAAAGCCCCTTGTGGGCGTAACCCTGCGGTTTCTTGTTACTTGGCTGCTTCTATTCAGCCCATCCTTCCTGATTTTGTGGCAAATTTCTCTCCTGGCAAATATCTCTGCCTGTCCTCCAAGCTGGCCCTTTCTGACAGCTCTGCTACTAAAGGGCTGAAGAGCTGACTTCCATGGATGATGAAACTCTTAATAGTATTAACCTGTCAGAGACTAAGGTTGGGATCAACTTGATCTCCAACCGGGGGTGGGGGCTGAACGAATTGCCTGCTGACCTCCATGTCAAATTAGGCCCGGTAGGACCTAATGGGGAGATACTCAGTCAGCAATCAGCCAATGAACTTTTCACACACAGGCTGGGTGTGGAAACGTAACCCTGAACGAAGTTTTCATTGGGATTCCTGAATTCCAAACAGGACAGTGACTGTTGAAGGATGCCAATTAATTGATTCATAGGAACGCACACTGCACACCTTGTCTTGTGGCACAGTGAAAGGATGGAGGACCTTACAGGAGCCCAGAGAGCAGAGAAGAGTAGCCAGCCAAAGCCAAATCAGTCGATCTAGTTAGGTTCCTTACCAATTCCTCTATCTCTGCATTGAGTTGTTTGTTTGTTAAATTGCTGGAGTCAAAAGCTATTGCCAGCTCCTGGTAACGAGTCTGATGGGGCACATGCAGACAGCCAGAGGTGGAAGAGGAGGAGGAGGAGAAGAAAAGGAGAGAGAGAGAGAAAAGGGAAAACACTTTTTTTTTTAAAAGAGGGAAAAATTCAGTAGTTTTCTGCAACCTCTCCTCAACAAATGAACCCCAAACCCATCTTCCTCTGAAACACATACTAAAAACTTCACTCCCTAAAAACTTCCTAAAAACTTCACTCCCATTTCAAAGTCAAGGCAGTCAACCAAGCTATGCAACCTTGAAAAGTCCAGTTTGTGAGACTGGGCTGAAATGTTGGTCCAAATTCTACGCCTTTTCCCCTGCCAAGGGGACATATCTCTTGAGCTCAAAGCCAAGCTCTTCTAGCAGGGAAGGAAAAACCCAGAATTCCCACAAACCAGCATGTTCCTTAAAGGCATTGTAGGAGCTGCAGTATGTGGCCGACACATCGTGGAGGGATTGGTTACAAAATAATGGCTAACGGGACAGCTGGAAGGGTGGACCTACCGCCATCTCTTTCATGTCTGCAGA